GACTGGAAAAGAAAGAAATAACAGTACAGTTAAAGTTTATTTTAGTCTGAACATGAATCAGAGAAACACCAATAAAATGTTTGTTGTTATTATTGCATAGAGCAGCTAAGAATCCCCCGTGTCTTTGTGGGGGAGAAGCAGTCGAGTCGGACACCTTCAGTTTAGGCAGGCGAACGCACACATCACATGTAGACAAACATTCATGAATCGTTGAGTGCACACTGATCACGTCATGTCAGATGTTGGAGGATCTCCATCTTCTGTAACACTGACCGTCTCCATGGGAAACGGTCACAGGAAAAAGGCACAGTTCATCCAGACCAATGTTTCAAGTCACTGATTGGCTCCTCCGGTTTGCAGCCGTCTGTAATGTAGACGTGTTCTCTACTCGTCTGCATGACAGAGTAACTGCAATGTTCCAAATTATTTCATACTTTAAAAATAAATACATAAATCCTTTATAATGTACATCCACATTTATACCCCCCCCCCCACCAAAGCAGTGAAATGAATATTAATTTAATGTGAGAGCTTGAGTTACAGCACACAGCTGCCTGTGGAGGCGCCAGTGCGCTCGTTTGCTTGCTGCATCCGCTCACAGCTACTGCAGACAGCCGTGGAAGAACAGGGTGTCACCCGGGCATTTATGTCTTACGTATCGATTTGCTCATTCATTTTGGTTGGTGCAACACAATTTGGTGGCCACGTTTAGACAAAGCTTTCTGCTGTTGGAGGAAAGCAGCAGGAATGTGTTTCAAAGCCTGGGCTGGTGGGACTCTGTAGTCTGTGTGATGATTTCATTCAGTGGGTAAAAAGGCAGCCATCAGGTCAGCCAGCTCCTCTGTACTCAAACATCTCGTGTCAATTATCTGCATGAACACACACACACACACACACACACGAACGCACGCACGCACGCACGCACGCACGCACGCCTGGTATAATCAGTCACACTGATACTGACACAAAATAAATGCTCATCTCAAAAAACCGTCCAAGTGCTGATGGATGATAGTGAAATATGCAAATATGAAATAAGTTTTCAACACGTGTTTAGTTTAAATGTGAAGCAGACTGACAATGAAACATCTGATCTGCTGGATTCAGATGTTTACCTCCAGTCTCTGCTGAACGACTCTCTGCTCAATCACACATACAAGCTCCAGTCAGAGTGAACTAATCGCTCAGCTCGGACTGAACACTTAGTTTCTCCATCGCACAGTCTGCTCGTCAGCACACACACACACACACACACACACACACACAGTTTGCTATCCTCGTGGGGACATCCCATTGCCATAATGCTTTTCCTAGCTGTATAGCCTAACCCTTTACACTGGTATCATAGACGCTTTAAATTACAAGACTACTTTGAAGACGATGACTTTCGTAGGGAGCCCTACGGTTTGGGAGCTGGAGTGGGGAGCCATGATATACCCCTAATTAAAGATTGTGAAATTATGTAGTTTTAGTTTGTATTATTCTCCTGAATTAGAAGAAGGTGGTAACTATTACAGTTATTAGACTGATTTGTATTACATTAGACTGCTGCTTCAGTGTGAATGAATGATATCGTTTATACTGCTGAGTCATAAGAAATCCTGGTTTCAGGACCTGCTGTTCTGATAGCAGAGGAGACAGAGCACATTCCACGGGAGCTTCACCCCCACCGTTGTTGAAGGCAGACAAAATAGGGAGCAGCCAAGGCCATAAGTCAGGCTCGCTAGGAGTTAGAGAGAATGTGAATGTTTGGGTTTTACGACTAGGTGGGGGCCAACAGAGGCTAGAAGAGTTTGAGTCACCCTGCACCAGTTTGAGATTTGCTGTGACCCTCTGCATGCATGTCTCCCCATCTGGATGGTTTATGCTAAAAAGTGTTGCATTGAAAATGACAAAGGATGAACTGAAGCTCTGCCATCACGTAATGTCGCATACTGCTGTTTCTGATGTCATTTAAAAAGAAAAAAAAAAAAAAGTGTTGCATTGTACGGAATAAAGCATTGTTGAAGGAGCATTTATACACCGAGTAGTGTCCTTCCTTCATCCCAAAGATCGAAAGAATTGGGAGGATTTAACAACAGGAAGACTGTCCATTCATTACATCGCTGCGAAACAGCACGATTATTTGCTAAAGGACACGAACTATTTTCTGCCAATGATTGGCTCCATAGCAGATAACACGTATATACAGTAGATATCGATAGCTTGTTCACTAACGTAAACACACGGATGCGTTTGAGAGGCGTGACGAACATCTTTCGGCGTTACCCAAACGCTGTGCGTCCTGAAATCCTCCAACTTCTGGAGATCTGCCTTACTGATAACAACTCTCAGGTTGACGATACGTATCATTTACAGACTGAACAGCCCTGGACCAAAGACATGCACCATCTGATGCTAACACTGAGATGAGTGAGTGGGAGGCGCTGACCAAATGCCCGCTACAACCGCCCTTTTATTTTCGGTTTTTAGATGACATCATAGGCGCATGGCTGCATGGCGAGGACATGTTTAAACAAGTTGTAGACAACAACATCAGTCTATAAAGCTCAAACAGGAACACGGCGAGTCGGAAATAAACTTCCTAGACACTACGGTCTTTTTTGAAAACGATTGTAAGAGGTTGTGGACTAGGGCACATTTTAAACCCACGGATACACATGCGCTCCTACACAAATTAAGCCATCATCCGCCACACACATTTCAGGGAATAGTAAAGTCTCAGATCTTGAGGTTCTATAGAATATACAGCAGGGAGGCAGCTGCCATATTGTTCAGAAAACAAAGAAAAAGCTATTCAGTGTAACAAGTGTGGGTTGATGTATGTGGGGCAGACTGGGGCCCACTCGAGAGCGCCTCTGCAACAGCACCTGTATGCCGTCCGGATGGACCGCGTATTTTACTGGGCTCTCATTCTAAGGAGCACAGAGGGGGCATCGGTAATCATGGGATTGGAGGCGAATCCTGGTTGGTCGGTCGGTCAGTTGAAAAGGATGGAGAGGGGGTGGATAGATTGAATTAGGCCTTAATGTGAGATGCGGACTGGACATCCTTCTCTCCTTGGTTTAGAGGACATCATATATGGGTCGAGTGTGGTTCTTTGTAGTTGTCTCTTGTTTGGTTGCCTAAGGTATTGTAAAACTGTATACTGATATGAAAAAGTCAAATTGAAACTATAGAAATGATCCCCTGGAGGCTGAATCCCCTCCAGAGTGGTGTTGGGAGACCTGACTCTCCAGGAGAAAATAGAAAAACAAAGGTAGAATATAAGCGGGTGAGATCTGACTGTTTGTTGTAGCATACTTTGATTAGAGACCACAGCAGGTCTTATATGAAGAAAAATGGGGGTGATGGAAAATATCAGCAATATATAACAATGGCATTCATAAGAAACAACGACGAAGAAGAGGAGCATGTTAACAGGAGGAAGAAGAACCGGTGGGAATCAGGATGCTGCAGCCGATCCCAGGACGGAAGAACTGAGTCGTAACTCCTAAATAACCAACCACAACCGAACTGTGACACTCACACTAAAACCACATTTTGAGTGTGAAACATGCCCTCAGACGTGTGGGGAGTTTGGTCCCTATAAGGGCTGCTGGTCCCCACAAGTATAGTAAACTTCCAATTTAACACACACACACACACACACACACACACACACACACACACACACACAAAAAATTGTCAAATTTGATTTGTTAGGAATTTGTGCCAACCAATCAAGCTCAGACACACAAACACATTTAATACTTGCTCTGCAGCACAGAGGGAGGAGGGCTAATAACGTACCATTGCTACTGATTGTTCAGCAGTTTTATCAAGTCTAAGGAGCAGCCTGTGTGCGTATTGTACATTTATAGGAACAAACATCAGCAAAGATGGTCTATTAAAGCCAGACTGGCTAACATGGCTAACTTCTTTGATCGCTCGTATAGATATTTCACACCTCATCAGCTGTGTGTCTGCTTGTCAGAGCTCTTCAGTAGTAAGTCATTGTGCGAGGCGAGTGCAGGCAGTCTGACATCTACCTTCTACTTACAGTCTACTCTGGCGCATAAAAAAGCGAGTGGACATTACTGAGCTCCGCCTGTGGATCCACACGCCTGCGTGTGAGGCTCTAATCGCTGTGGTGTGTCCTGGAGTCTAAGGAGCTTGGAAAGAAAAGCGTCTGGACTTCTTTGAGTTGCTTGAAGACGTTTCACCTCTCATCTGAGAAGCTTCTTCAGCGAGGGAGACAAAGAAGGACAGACGCAACAACATTGTCATCCCCTATGTAGCCGGTGTATCAGAGACACTCAGGAGAGTTTTCTCCAAGCATGACATCCCGGTGTATTTCAGACCCAGCAACACACTCAGACAGAAACTGGTTCACCCGAAAGACAAAACGCCAAAACACAGACTTAACAATGTGGTGTATTGCTGTACAGTGCAGCGAGGAATGCCAGACCTCTACATGGAGAGACCAAACAGCCACTTCACAAGCGCATGGCACAACACAGAAGAGCCACCTCCACAGGACAAGACTCAGCAGTCCATCTGCATCTAAAGGATAAAGGCACTCTTTCGAGGATGCCAATGTTCACATTTTGGACAGAGAGGACAGATGGTTTGAAAGAGGAGTGAAAGAAGCATCTATGTCCACTGTGAGCGACCATCTTTGAACAGAGGCGGGGTTTACGACACCAACTCTCTGCCATCTATAATCCAGTTTTGAGATCCCTCCCCAGACGCCTTAACGCCCACTCACATCCTGGGCCATCTGACCTCAGGAATCACATGATAAGGTGGGGCCAGGTTTCACAATGAACTCACCCGAAACTCTGGCTGATTGGGACCCACACCCAGTTTCACACCTTGGCTCAGGCGATTAGAGGATCATCAGGGGTCCTTTTGTCCCTCTGTGGGGGGAAACTCCCACTAGGTTTATATCTGGGACTCTCCACCATTTGACCTTAGAACTGAAGAAGCTTCTCGGATGAGAGGTGAAACGTCTTCAAGCAACTTAAAGAAGTCCAGACGCTTTTCTTTGCAAGCTCCTTTGACTACGATGACCTGGATGACTGAGAACCTTCACAGACACATGTCCTGGAGTCTGTGCCACCGATCGGTGGAGTGTCCGTCTCAGATTGCGCTCGGCTGCCGGGCAGAGCCTTCTGCTCAGAGTGCCGCCTGGAGACCAGTTTATAAAGCCCAGCAAAGAGGAAGATCGCAGAAATGACAGCAAAGTAGGAACCGTAGATGAAGAACTAAGGAAGGAAACAAAGAAGTTATCACATCTACATCGTGGAAGCTAAATAAGCACAACACAAGTTCTACATTTGTTATACTTCCTCACCTGAGTGAAGACTTTAAGGCCCAGGACAGAGGAGTCCACCACCACCAGCGTGAGCAGAGACTGCAGCAGCAGAGCCACAAAGGTGTTCACTCCAAACACCAGCGCATACCGCTGCATGTTCAGGCTGGCCACAACCTGATACCTGAGGGAGACAGATGAGTTTGAACAGACAAGCAGTCGCAGCGTGTGAGCAGTAACAGGAAGTCAGATGGAGAACAGTCTCCTCGTGTTTGCACACATGCACTTCTACAGTCAGCAGTGCTCCCACGCATTCAGCTCAATGTGCTCCTTATTCCAAACAACAGTCTTCCCATGTCCTGTTAATCCCTCACATGGATTCAATTTCTGCTTTCAAATTTCCAGTAAGCTGTGCCAGAACTGCTTCATGGAATAACACTAATGTTTGCACTTCTGCCTGAAACGAGCCATGGAAGTGCTGCTGTCTCGGCACTGGACGTCGATACAGGATATCATGATACAGGATATCATATGTGGCTGGTGATTGGGTACTCACGTGGCCACAGTGATGAGCAGCATGTACGTGGTTCTAAAGAGGATGTAGAAGCTGTATGACAGCCAGATGTGCTCCGTGTTCATGACAAACACACACACAGCCATGAGCAGGGAGAGCACACACAGAGCCAACTCCCCCCACAGAGCCCAGGTCACAGGCAGGCAGCCCACCAGCAGCGCCGCCAGAGCCCCTGTGGACGAGAGGAACACAGAGCTGCTGTCAAAGGTCAGTCACGCTGGGAGAGTGTGCTCACGTCACAGCTTTACACAGTCTGCTGTGAAGCAACCAGAGCAGCCTCACCGAGGAGCGTGGACAGGGTCTCTACATAGCCGTTGTAGATGATGTTTTCCTTGGATGGAAGAATGTGCTCCCACAGCGGCTGAGAATAGTTGATGATCTGGAAGTAGCCACAGGTGGCCAGAGCCCACCACAGCGACCAGGCCAGCAGGGTGCGACACCTGTAGCACTGCACAAAGTCATCAAACAGCATCCGCAGGACCGCCACGAGCCCCCTGCTGCCACTTCCTGCCTCAGAGGACCTGGATGCCTGCACAGACAAATGCAGACGTGTGACCTCTTCACACAATCGTACAAACTCAGAATCTCTCATCACAGCCGTGGCCAGATACGGCAGCTTCACTCACCCTGGAGATATCCGGCCTGTTCAGCGGCACCCTGCTGTCCGAATCCTCCGCCTTCTCCATCCTGGTGGCGGTTCTGCTGCTGCTGCGGGGCCTAGCCTCCTCTGCTCCTGCACGCCTGTGGAAGAACAAGCTCCTCTTGGGCATGGGGAGAAAGCAGGGCACCAGAAAGGCCACAGAGGCTGACGCCAGTGTAATGATGACGAGGTAGACCTTGTCAACTTCGGCCACGGATACCAGCAACTGACCGGTCAAAGATCCAGCCGCTGATCCGAACAAAGTCACGCTGCGGCAGTAAGCAGTCACTCTCTGGTAGTGCTCCGGCTCCACCACGCTGTAGATGTAGGAATAGTAGGCCACCTCTGAAGCAGTGGACAGACCGTAGAAAAACTCCAGCAGCTGCATGGCCAGCATGCCCTGTGCCCTCCACAGCATGACATAGGTGACCACCAAGCTGCTGGCCTGGAGCACCAACACCGGCTTATAACAGAGGAAGTCAGTGGCCAGGAAGATGGGGAACAGCAGGAACAGATAGGAATACGTCCATACTGGAAAGATTTCATTGACAACCTGCAGACAGAAACAGTCACCGCATGGATTAGAGCTCCTTTCACTTTCCTTTGCATCAATAAATGACAAGGATGCTGTGCATTTGAAACCTGTCAGTGATCTTGCTGATCTCCTGTGCAGCTATCCAGCTCAGCACCGTACGGACGTGTGGCTCCGTTTTGTGAACATTAAACCTAACGTTAACGTTTTAGTTGAGGAATTACAGAGAGATAAACTTACCTTGCAAAAACAAAAAGTCTGCTCATTAATCGGCGTTACTTAAATAGCTAAGCCAGGCTCGGGGTACGACACGGTCGTCCCAGCCTTTGGACAGCGCAACACATCCAAGCAGATTCAAGGTTTGCTTTCTGAAGGCCTGCTGAGAGCCTCAGCATTGTACAAGTAATTATTTAAGGATTAGCCAGAAATTCTGGTCATTTTTCAGGGAGATTACTCCGTCTACAGCGAGAGTCTCTGGGATTACTGCTCCAACACTGAGATCGCCATTTTCAGTCTTTCCTGCCTGACGCTGTACACTGCGGCACCATGCAACATCCCTGCGACAGCACATTTTGTAATAACTGTCATACTGCAAATGCAACAGTTCTTACGAAAAACAAAATGGGAAACATAAACCACACGTATGTCTGAAGGTTCTCAGTCATCCAGGTCATCGTAGTCAAAGGAGCTTGCAAAGTCCAGACGCTTTTCTTTGCGAGCTCCTTTGACAATAAACCACACGTACATGCAATAAAACAAAGTATTTTCACTTTGATCTGACACCAGGACACGGTAAACTTTCAGAATCAGTCTCAAAAAACCTTCAAAACAATGCTAAAAGTAAGTCGTTTCTTATTATTTAAAGGTCCAGTTGCTGCCAACAACCAGCCCGGGCTCTCTCCTGCTGGGCTGACCCCAGCTCCACCATCCAGGAGGAGCCAGTGGTCTTTGTTCTGCTCTCCAGGACATTTGATGTGATCCTGATATTTGATGATGGGGTCAGAGTGTGTCTAACAGCGGGATGAAGCAGCTGCGTGACTCCATCCTTCAGACAGAGACACACAGACAGGCTGAGCAGCTGATTAAAAGCATGCTACATCACATGTCTTGACCCCCACGCCAGCAGCCCCCGCCCGCAGACTGGGGTGAGCTGGTCCGGGACGCCCTTTATCAGAGCGCCATCTGTATCTCTGCTGCTTTCATAAACTTTAGTTTCTGCTTTGCTGATCTTTGCTGTTTATCAGCCAAATGACACTAAATGACGGAATCCTGATTAAGCGGGTTGCTGAGTGAGGAGGTTTTGGGGGTCCTCTGCGCGTGCCCGGCACCGCTTGTCCACAGCTTAGCTCCAACTTACTTCACGTGAACATTAACGGAGTGTAAACGCACGCTGATGCTACAGAGCGTGACGACACAACTAAGACGCGCCTCAGAGTCGCTGCTGCTAACAGCGAGCTAGCTCACCTGCGTCTCCGTCAGGTTCTTGTCTGGTCCCATCAGGTAGGCGGTGATGAAGGGCTCGCATGGCCGCAGGCTGGTGAAGAAGCCGTAGACACAGAGCAGCACAGTGGGGAAAAACACCGACATGTCTGAAGCAGCATGACCTACGCCGGTCCTTCTTCTACTCCTTTCTTCTTCTTCTATCTTTTTATGGCGGTGCCAAACAACTTCAGGTACATTACCGCCACCTTCTGGACTGGAGTGTGAATCGCAACGCCGCGTTTATATGGACAGCTACTGCCCCCTGCCGGCCTGAAACAGGCTTTTCACACAGTTGTGTGACGAACGCTAAAGATGCAGGTGAAACTCAGAAAATCAGAATATCGCGCAAACTTTCATTTATTTCAGTAATCCAACTTAAAAGGCCAAACTTATATATGATATGAGACTCGTTACATGCAAAGTGAGATATTTCAAGCCTTTATTTGTTATCATTTTGATGATTGTGGCTTAAAGATTATGAAAAGCCCAAATTCAAGAGTTCAGAAAATTAGAATATGGTGAAAAGGTTCAATATTGTAGGCTTAAAGGGTCATTCTTTAATCAGCCAGTTAATCCATAACACCTGCAAAGAGTTGCTGAGCCTTTAAATGGTCTCTCAGTCTGGTTCAGTAGGAATCACAATCCTGACTGCTGACATGACAGTTCTGCAGAAAACCATCATTGGTGTCCCCAAAGCGCTGTACAAAGCACACTAATAGAAAGCTTGTGGAAGAAAAACTTCCATGATGAGCGACATGAGACGGAACAAAACAACACCTCAGCAGTGCCCCAGGCTGGCAGCATCCATGCCACGCTGCACTGAGGCAGTACTGAGTACACATGCAGGATTAGACTTTCCAGAGGTCTGACATTTCTCTATTTAAAATCCTTGTTTTATTGATCTCATGTAATATTCTAACTATGACTTCACCACAGTGAGCCGCAGACGGACCAGTGATGGAAAATCTTAGATGCCAATCTTTCTCCCTCAGCCAGGAGGCTGGAGACAGTTATCAGTCAGATGCTGCTATGGCAACAAAGGAGTGGCTTAAGCACGTTGAGGTCATGCAGAGAGCAAACGTACAAGCTGCAGGGAGGGAACGCCATCAGCTGTTAGGCCTCAGAACTACGACCAGGACACTTTGTGCTGGCTTTTCCTTCACCTGTAACCTTGCCACCTGCAGCATAACGTGTGTCATGAAGGAACATTTTTAGGCTTGAGATGTTTTACTTACCACCGCCCAGCACCAATAAATACATCCACAAACAGCATTTTTCTTGCAATATTTGGGAAACTCTTTATTGATAAATGTACATCTTTCTGAAACGGTGAAGCCTCACCACCAAGCAACTTAAATTAGAAGACTGGACCAACAGGCACAGATACAAAGAGAATATTTGATCAACCAACACACGAGGAAGCAAGCTGTGGATTACTGAAGCAGATGCTTTGTATGGATGAGTGCTGCCACTGTAATGAGCCAAACATGACAGGTTACAGGAAACATGGACGTGTAGTTAAACTGCATCAGTGAGGCTGCTCTGCAGAGGTCACAGCAAACCTCTTCAAAGGTCAGTAATACATTAGACACAGAGTTACATCTGACAACAAATCCTCTGAAGCATCAATTAGAAACCTGCTCACAACTGAAGCCAGACACAGAAACGGGATCAGCACATTCACAACAAACTGAGGTTCAGCCTCGATTCCCGCAGAGAGCGTTGGGATGGAAGCGAGGACAGCTGACGGGAAACATCCGTGCTCCACGAGCTTCCCTCGACGCCGCCGTCGAGACAAGGCTGCTTTATTATTTGTAGCCATCCAGAAGTTGTTGGGCTCCTGCTTCAGTTTTCCTGTGTCTCAGCACCCACTGAGCTGAGACAGATGTGGGCAGACATGAGCACGAGTGGATGCAGCCGAAGCTGCTAAACACAGAGTCGTTTCCACAGGCTGGTGGAGCCAGAGAGCAGAGTGAGTGCTGGACTGATGGAATCGTCTACCACAAACTGGCACCAAGCAGCAGTGATTTCAAGCTTGAATGTGACAGTTTTAAGTTCCTAACTGCAGGATCGCCTCCATGATGAAGAGGAGGATTTGTTTAGTTTCTCTAAGGTCGGGGCGGAGCAAACCTGATCTTACACCAACACATGAATGACTGTCAGACTGGGAACTAAAGCAGCACACATCAATCCTTCCCTGCAGCAGGACATTGCTGAGCTTCTGTTTAAACACTCCTAATCACACTAACCATCAATAAGCTTCACTGTCCCACTGAGAGACATTGCAGGTGCAGTCCAGCTCTTGGGTGATGAGGACCTTGGTTACCGAGGGTTAGACGACTAGTCCGACACAGATTCTCACCTCTGATGTGTTTAGCCAGCTTATCACAGAACTACACACAACGTATCTGAATTTATGCAGCAGAGCAGGGTAGCTGTGACATGACAGCATCCTACTCTGTGCTGCATACACACAGATCAAACTGATCGGGTTTCTCTGGGTTCAGCAGAAAACAAGCACGTGTCCTAATACGTCAGCCCGTTCTTTTAAGAGACAGCGTTTCATATCCTTGACACTTCCACACAAAGCATCTTAGAGTAGCACAAACATTCAGCAGACCAGTTGTATTGAGAGCGGAGACCATCTCTGGTATTTCCCGTGTGCACGTGGCGTTGCAGCAGAGGCACCTACATGGTAAAATGTCTCGTGTAGTCGTATTCTATCGTGGGAATGACGGCCTGCACAAACTTGAGGAAAATCAGAAGATACCTGAAAGCATCAGTTAAGGAAACAGAGGTGGGGTAGAGTGACCACCTGCCTGACCACGAACACTCGCTGCAGGCCAGCCGCCGAGTGCTGCTCTTCCTGCCTGGCTGCAGCCGGCTCCTATAAAACATCGAAGTGCTGATACGTCAATGAACTGCTGGTGTACAGAGGTGAAAACATCCATCTCTGCTGCTTATCCTGGTAAGCCTGGCACCTCCTCAGGCAGCTTCTTGGCTGGTCTGGAGAGATGCTGTTAGGAGCCAGCAGAGCGACAGGCTCTGTGCTGCTGCAGCGCCCACACCTCCAACAGCTCTGACACTTTCCTTTCATTGCGTCGCTGTGGTGACGCGTGACATCATCAAAGGATACATATGCACTCCCAGCTCTCCTCCTCCTTCTGCCACAGTCTCAATGATCTTTTTCATCACTTCAGCATGCCTGAAAGCAAAGGTCACGAGTTCAAAGGTTAAAGGTTCTTGTCAAAATGTTTGCGACACAGACATCCTTAAACACGACCACGGCTCCTTTATCTCAGCGGAGACGCAGAAGAATGCGACTCGATACCAGCTGACTCGCTATTAATGGTCATGTGATCACTCAGTACTGTTGCAGGGGCTCTGCCTTACAATAACATCTGTGGTTGGTATAGAAATCGAGTTGAACTGAACACAGAAGTGAGTTGAACGTGTGAAAGAGGTTCTGGGCTGGAGCAGCAGCTTCTAGTGAAAACAGGAAGTTAGTGTGTGACAACGTTTGGCTTCTTAGAGCGCAGTGAAGAAGTCACAGTGCAAATCAGCATCACCGAACCCACCACAGTGTCATCCATCTTTTCCCGATTCATTCATTCAGCACAATAAGCCTCGACACCATCACAGGTGCAGCTGTGTGGTGGGTCTGCATCTTTCAATGCGACAAACGAAACTCTCACCTGCAGGGGTGAACCGAGCACATGGCAGGTGGAGGAAGGTGGGGGTGGTTCTCGATGGTGACCGTCTTCTTCACGTGGTCCTGGCTGATGTCCTCGTACATCTGCTCTACAGTGAGCGGCTGCCTGTCCTGGGAGACAAAGCAACAAAGCTGGTCTCAGTTTTGGTTGCGCTCCTTCTCAACAAGAAGCAGCAGACTGCAGCTGTTCACGCTCGGAGTCTATCGACTGCTCATCATCTCTATACCGCGAAGAATAAAGTTCATACTTCATCATATCCAAAGAGCCAGAGTCGAGGGGTCTGGTAGTATTTATCGTATGTGATGTACAGGTCATATGTTCTCGTCTGAAGAATGGCGTCTTCGCTGCCAGGTTCTGCTTTGGTTTTGGTTTCTGCTATTTTGCTGGTGTCCAGGGTTGCCTAGAGACAGAAAACAAGAGTCAGGCCGGAGTCGGGCGGATGATGGCCGAGGTCAGACAGCGCTGCGAGCGTACCTCGTCTGTTTCCAACAGCCCGCTTTCTTCATATTCTGAAAAGACAGCAGAGTGTGAGGGCCGATCTGGGAGCACATCCAAACCACAGAAAGACACGATCAATACCTTCCATATCTGCCGCTTCTCCGTCTTCATCATCCTCATCATCACAGCATGCTGCAGACGGGGCATTCATGTTCTTATCCTAGACGAGTTCAGATTAAGAGCACAGATATGTAACCGCACAATCAGACACCGGGGATGCGATCGATGGCATCGAGGCTTTTATGATGGTCCACCAATCGCAAGGAGCGAAACTGAGCAAACGAACCGTTTCATTCACATCTGAGCAGTAATCTGGGAGGAAACATCCCTCCGTCACGCACGCCCTCGGTCCTCCAGCCGAGGGATGGAACTATTAGAGCGGTGGAGGATTTTACATTCATATTAATTAGAAATCAAACCTTGTTGTTGTCCAGTGAGATTTCCTGCACAGCATCTGTGACTCCTAACACACCTGCACAGACACATTCAGGGGATCGTTACTGACACCTGCACAGTCATCAGGAAATACTCGGCACACATCTGATATCACGGCCACGTCATCAGAATGAGATTGATCAGTGTGATCGTATGTGAAGCATGTAGCCCACTCCGGTATGTGACAGTGAACCACGACGGACAGTTAGCTGTGCGCGGGTACCACCAGCATCACACCTGTGTTGTGGTAGGTGTCCACCCAGCCCCCGTCTCCATCGTCCTCCTCGATGATGGCCTCCAGCTCATCTGAATACTCCATCTGCTTACAGCGCTTGTAACAGGGCACTGCGCATGCACACACACACAGACACACACAGCAATGACACTTTGAAACACACAAAATTATTTGTTCACAATATCATCTTTAAAGCTTCAGTCCTGTCCTGAACTTTAAGGCACCTGAGGTTCAGTCTTGTGTCACTAAACACTGAAGCAGTGAGTCAGCCTTGCTGACTGAAATTCCTGAAGTCTGCCTCTCACCATTGCGTGTCAGGAGAAACTGTTTGTCCTGTGGCAGATATGGCTTCACCTTTGCTTCTTCTCCAGTGGCCCTGACGGGAGAGAAAAAACAGATCATTTGCTGCCGTTTTAGCCCGGCTCAGGTCCTGAGACCTCCACCCTGGTCACAAACCACAGTTTATTACAGTTGTTCTCATCTTTCTGACAGTGGAGAACATGGACTGAGCTTCTGGTTTGGAAACATGAAGTCTAACGAGGTCCTTCAGTCTAAAGAGCACTAGATGTGGACAGCTGTGGACAGATGTGGACAGCTGTGGCTTTGGCTCTTGAGTGAAACGGCTTCGTGTCCTCAGTTTGGGTCTAGCTCGTGCTGAGGCTGCATTTCACAATGGAAGATTATCTGTGGCATGAACTCACATTAACTAACAAGCTGTCAATCACAAGCCATTATCACTGACCGTTAACCGATATCAACTTCATGGCTTCAAATCAAGCCTCCAACAGGGGAGGTCACAGTAACTACATCCAGCTTTTACATTTGTCCTGCATTCGACATGCAAAACATAAAAAAGGACCTCTGTTCTGTGGCAGCAGGTTTCAGTGTGTGATGATGTGCCATAATGACACAAGCTGGGTTTCTCCGTGTTGCATCACACCAGCTTCTGCTGTGAAATCGCTCGGACACATTCAACACTCATGCAAGCTCTGAGGCCGCATCCTCATTTTCCACACAAAGGTTCCTGTGAAAGCTGTCAGCACAGGCAACATTAATCGTCACCACACTGCAGCAGGACGGACAATGTTGGCGACACTGGTGCAGCGGTAACACTGCTGCCTCCCATCAAGAAGCTCTGGGTTCGAACCTGCCAGCTGGTGGCTAATAAAGACTGAGTCAGAGAGGCGGAGCAACGTTTCATCAGCAGAGCAAGTCCACAGATGATCAACACGTTGTGACTAAAGCAAAGGGGCAGAAAGCTCTGTCATTACTACTGAAG